AAAACTATATTGAACGTGATGATATTAAAATAATTAAACAACTGGATCAATCCGTATTTGTATTAGAAAAGCATAAACAACATGAAAATCATGTTGTTCAAGTTTGTAACAATATTTATACTGAAACAACGAAAAAATCTGATTATGCATTTCAAAAGAGTATGATTACAAAAACATTAACGGATCAATTAGCCAATTATATGACTAATCGTCTCAATAGCGAACTAATTAATCCTGCTGTTCATGCTGGTGTAGATGGAATTGTTGAAAATTTAGCAAACAAAATCGAAGTTGCTTGTGCTGGTAGTAATGGAACATTGAAAAAACAATTAGAACGGCGTCGAGCTCAAAATGCCATTATTCGGCAAGGAAAAGATATGATGAAACAGGCGGCAAAAGAACAAGCAAAAGGTACAAAAGCAGAATATGTACATGGAGATCCATCAATTCATCCAGATATTGAAAAAATGGCACAGAATGCTGAGCAAAACACTCCTGGTAGTTTGATGGAGGTCATGGCTTTAAGCGCAAAACTTGGACGTCCAGTGCACATCATGAGAAATGGCAAATATGATCTGACTATTGGAGATACTCAAGCCGGTGAACCATTGAAACTTGATTATCTAGAAAACAAAACGGGAGGTGTCGGACATTTTGGTAATGAGAATCCGAATAATGCTATTCAATCTACTGGTCCTACAAATTGTTTATATGATAGACTAAGCGAACAAACAAATATATCATCGGATGAATTGAGACAACTTGCAGCGAATGGTATTAGAGAAAATTCTAATCATTATCTTAAAATGATGCCTGCTGCTGACCTGTTGGCTCAACACGGAAATAAAGGTTTACTGTATATAGGTGGCACGAATAAAGCAAAGAAAGGTAACCAAAGTACCCCACCTGTTACTAAAAACAACAAGACAAAAGATGTAGATGAAGAAAGACATGTAGCTACGAAAAATCTTACACTACCGGAGAACACGACACTTAAAAGTGCTATGGGTAAATTTATTAATGCTTTTAACGTTGATCAGATCCATGCGGGCGGTGGTGGTACACTCTTTGGATACAACAAAGAACGTCATTTTAGGGACACTCTCGGCGAGGCAAATAAAGATCAATTTTTCGACAGTTTGAACAAAAAAGAAGAAAATTTGATAGTAGCTCCTAAAGGCCTTCGAGACAAGAACGACTCAAGGGGAACATTGCGACTTGACAATCAAGGTGTTCTTGGAGACAACAGACTCAATCTTCAAATACAATACGGTGGTGGTAGGAGTAGATCATATGCTAATGTGATTCTGCCCAATGGCTATAATATTGGTAGAGAAAGATTAAAATCCTTATTTCATGAAAGTCTTAAGACGCAGACGGTAATTGAAGTCAAAAAGTAAAATGCAGGTGATAGCCGAAATATCATAAAATTTGAATTACTCTTCTTACTCGGTTTTAACGAGTGTTTTGTTTCATTCATTTAATTAAGAAAAATCTGTTCAATTTTTTTATTGTACTGTTTCCATTCAAATATATTATTTTTTTTTCTATTAATTGTGAAGTTTCAAATCGAGTCGAACTGACACGCCCCCGAGCTAGAAAACTCTAATTCGATCAATGTTGGGAAATTTTCGATTTTTTCCAACGGGATTCGCTGAAATTTTTTGTGTTCTTTCCGGTACCCCTCCCCAAAGTTTGGCGTTTCGAAACTTCGTAGAGAGAAACTTATTGCTGAAATACAATATTTTAGATTATTATTATAAATGGCAACCAATCGTCAATCAGTATTCGCTTTTCTTAATGTTACCAAATCGATCGCCACGATAGATCGTCAACGTCTCGAACAAATTCGTTCTGCTTACGCTGATACAATGAAAAATGCACAAACGACTACAACAACCACAAATGCAGACGATCGAATCAAATTGCTTGCTAAGGGGTTTCCTCTCATTGACGATGAACAAAATCTTGCTCATTTAAAATTATGCGTTATAGGAACGCACTTAGAGATCGCATGTCAAGCCATTTTGGGTGAATACCTTAAGATACTTATTGAACAACAAAATGCTAGAAAAGCTAACTCGCCATCAGTTCCTCCAACAATAGTAGATACAGCGACAAAGTCAACTGTGCAAGTCCCCGAATCTTTGTCGAAAATTATGTGTCAAATTCTTGTTAAAAAAAATCAACCAGCTGTTATCGAATTTATTCAAAGTTTTTTATTAAGTCCACTTGCCAAGGCAGCATCACGACAGAAGTAAGTTGTTTCATGATCGAAAAAGTTTGAAATATCGTTTGAACAGTGATGTATAAAACGTAGATAGCTCTGATTATCAGCTAATCCAGGATTTCGCGTATTTGGGTTCCAGTATCTTTTCTAGAAAGTAGTTGAGGTAGAGAACCGGTTAAAACAAAAACGCTCAGGTACTTCTAGAAGTCGATTCGTGATTCATATGAAAATTTCAGATCGACTCAGAGACCGAATGTTCTATCATCGACTGAATTTATTGGCGGGCCCATCCCTCCTGGTACCACACTGGATATTTTTATTCGCGCTCAATTACTTGCTCGAGGTGGTACAATCGATCTCGGACGTCCACTGACAAAACTTCCACTTGTCGAGCCAATCGTACTAGTTGATGAATTTGACACTTGGCATTTCGATCGTCTACGTGGCTTATTTGAATTAAATTTAGTGAATGAGCCATGCTTTCCACAAAAATGGACATTGGCTCCTGATGGCGAGCTTTTCTACATATTTGAGACGCCAGCTGATCGTACGAATACGAATCAGGCCGGTGAACAAACGGTGCGCAATGTCGATCGACCATCTACACAATCGTTAGAACAATTTGTTACAGACATTTGCGAAAAAGAAAACAATGGTATGGCTTCGAAATGGTTAACCGATTTACGTGCCGATGATCTTTTCTCTTATGATCATCTTGCCAATTTGAAATTTACCGAATGGGATCGATTGAAACAATTATCGATGAATGGAAGAAAGACTCTCAAATCATATGTCGATCGAGAAAAACAAATGGCCAGCGATGCTAAAACAACTGCGAATGCACAACAATCAAACTCAAACAAAGGCATTCGTGAGTAGCCCGAGTGAAGTATGCGAGTGCAAAAGTGTTGTTTAGCTAGTTTTAGAAATTTTTCGA